ATCCAATAGCGTGTTTCCTTGATCGCGTCCTGAACGAGGTCAAGAAGTTTTCGATAGCCCACTATTTTTCCGAAGTTTATTCACGTGGAGTTTCGATTCATGCGAATTGCTACTAATACCGTCGTTTTCTTTATATGTAAATCCAATGGAAGCATACTCGCCTCTAACGTCGGTGAGGGTGTGAAGCGCATAGCACCCGGTATTCCAACATAGGCTAGTCGCTGGATCTTTTCTAACCTTCCTTTTATTGTCTTTTGGTTTTACACCACCAGACAACTGAAGCATTGGTTATAATAGATCTGACCATCACGATGTAGATCCAGAGCGTTGCCTTAGGTGTTAGCCCTCGTCGTCTTTCGCACACCCTCTTACATTTAAATAGAGCTCTCTTCGCTTTTCTGATCTTTTCATCCACATGTTTATTCCAAGTTAAATTGTTTTCTAGAATTACATCTCAATATTTTACTGACTTTGAAATGCGGTTGTTAGTCCCGAAAAGTTGTAAACGCTCCAACCTGAAGTTGTTGATGTGAAATGTATTTCTTTTTTAATTTTTTGTGGTTAAGGTAGATAGGCTAGAAGTTATAGTTCGGACTAACACAAATGCCTTAGACATCAATATACACAGAATCGTACTCTTTGTTCGTGTGAATGGAGGTTTTTTATGCTGCTATGCTTTTACTACCTATCAGAATTTATTTATATCTTTTATGTATATGTACTCGTAGTAGTAAAAAATTTTCCAGTAAGTTTTGTAATAGCGTTGTTGTTGTTATTGCTCCTATTTTCTACAAGCAAATTTGTGTATATTTAACATATAATGTATGGTACTTTGTAAGTTATATTAAATCACCTGTTATTGTGGTTTTTACTTCATCTATATTCATAGTGCTCGCATGTTGGTATTGTCACTACCGTTTTTGATAGATCAATATCTGTTATCATATTAGATTTATGCAGAAGTATACATAGACATTTGTTGGAGTGCATCTAGAAGTGTATTACGAAAATACATACCAACAAATATGTAGACATTTAAAAATTAATGTAATTATTAGCTTCATTTGTCGATCTCCTGTTTATATCTAGATCAAAATGTTAAGCGGAGAGGGAAATATTTGCAATGTTCGCTTTTTTTCTAATTAACGTTAATTGTAACAAAGCAATTTAAGAATGTTATATGGTGATTAAAACATCTGAGTCAATATTTGTTAGATCTTAAATGGTTAAGAAAAGTTGGTAAAATTATATTACATATATACTACTTGACTGCGAACAAATCTGTCAACAAGGAAAACATCATATAAGTGTCTCTGTTAAGGCTATAAAGCCAATATTATAACCAACGTGGAACACAAAATAAGTCGATTTTAAATTCTAGGTATCTTTTTTTGTAGATATTGCAAACTAAAAAAACTATTTAAAAGAAAGCTAGATTTATCTGAAACAAACATTAGTGTTTAGTTAACTGGTACCTAAAACCAGTTAACAAGCATTTATTAATTGAAATAATTGCTTTGCTTAGAAGAAACGTGGTGTTATTAGAATTTATCTAGAATTTAGTTACTTAAATAAGGAAGATACATACGTAAATTCAAGAAAATTACTACATCAGATTACTTTACTGTGTAAAAAAGTGTTCAAAGTGAGATTATCAAAATTAATATTAGCGATCATCTTATTATTGCGCTTATTGATTTTCAAATAAACTTTAATAGTTTTTTTAATAAGAAATTCGGATTATACTAGTATATTCTTACTGATATACTGATATTTCATTACGGTAATCATACCTATATACTCATCCCAGCAGTAGTATTCAGTTAATTATAAAATGGGCTAAATAACATCAATATGTGCCTTAAGAGTCAATCCAAGTAACAAACATCCTTCGTAAAGATGATAACTATCGTTACATAGCAATGCTTTAATAAAACTGACACGGTATGCAACCATGTGGGGATCCGCATAATAATAAAATATAGAATAGAATATAGAATAAAATATAAATATATAAAATAAAATATACTTGAACGATTCTCATCAAAATGACTATGAAACCAATGTATCATGGTATTTCATGAAAGAGAATTTCAATAGGATTTAACAAACAACAGCATGCTTAAAAAATCTATAAGCATAATAAAAGGTATGTAAACCGTCCTTGTAGTCACCAATAATGCTAGTAGAGGCATGGATTCAAAATTAATCTAAGAAATCATAATCAGATTGCTGTAATATTGTGAAAATTATAGGAGCCATCATAAATCATTTTATATTTAGGTATATCAACGGTTAACGATGTTGGATACCTCCTGTCCGGTCTAAAAAGAGTAATCCGTTTGTAAATGAATAGACATTTAAATAAATGGAGTAATTAATAAAAATAATTTGTTTTCTCTTGCCTAAATTCTTATAACTTAATTTTAGTGAGTTATTTGTAAATTGAATTTTTTTTTTGACAATCCTGCGACACCGAAATTTTCATTTTAAGAAGAAAAAAACAATAGCGATTCTTACTTTAAAAATAAAATATAATTTAAAGTGATATTTATATATTTTAACTTGTTTAATAACTTTCTTTGAATGTTAACCACTATTATTGATGAGAACAATAATAATAAATTAATAATAATAATAATAAATTTAATTCTAGAATTTAACTGAAAAACCTTGGCAACTTATGAGAGCGACAACAGAATAAGCAACAACGTGCTTACAATAGCTAATATTTCCTGAATATTGTAATAATTTATGTTTTACTATTAAAAATAATTTAGGTTTAATTGTTCCATTCATTTAAATAAACGAGGTTACAATAGGTTGATGCGAGGACTTGGTTTTTCAGCAAAGTAAAAGAAAACTTTCCACGTTACCACGTTACCACGTTTCCACGTAACGACCAATGGATTCAAATATATGGCGGTCACTGAAGCTATTTTTGAGCAAATGAGCGAAATGTCAGTAATGAGGAGCTGCTGGGTGAGAATAGTGAATTATGTCAATACTCATCAGCAGTAGCCACCAGTATAGGCTTTCAATAAGTAATGGTTCTTATATGTTTTAATACATTGTATTTAAAGAAATAAATAACCTTTGGTTGCTATATATATATATATATATATTTATAAAGCGGGTTACAATCATTATCAACTATCAACAAATATTCAGATCAACTGCACAGTGAAAGCATATATATATGTAGATATTTTGGTTTCGATTAGGCACAAGTGCCGAAATTGGAATCCATATCAATTGTATAACTAACACGTGCCAACGATGAACTTATTTTGTATTATATTAATCTTTGTTATCTCCGAACGAAAACAAAAAATAAAAATTATAAAAGTTTTCAATCTAAATAATTTAGTGTGTTCTGAAGAATTATACATATGTATGCACATATGTATGCGCATATGTATATTTATTTATGTGCGTTGGGTGTCAAAGTGATTGGCAAAACTTTTTGAGAAACAACATCTGTCAGCTATGATCTCACATCTAATTCGCCTCATTTAACAGTTTTACAATGAATGGTTCGAAGAGAGTGCTTTTGGAATTCAACTTCACTCATTATTAAATGGTTTATAAGGTTTTTAATTTAAATATAAATAACAATACCAAATTCACTAAAATAACGCTTATGTTAACGCTTATAAGCAAAAGGCGTCAAATAGACACACGTGGTTGCCGTTCGTGTTTCTCACGTACAACGTACTATAATGCGAGAGTGATACTTCCTCAGCTATGAATATTAAGTGTTCGTTATATGGACTGGTTGATGTAGTTGACCATCAGACTAGCATTTATGAGCCTAAATGAAAATTTTCAAAATTCTTCATAACATCGTCGAATATTGTGGAACCATCGTTTCAAATGTACTTACATATATGGATACTATATATAAACAATATAAGCAATTTTTATATACATGTATACATAGAACATATTTTTATATATAGAAATGCTTTTTGTTTATAATGAAAAGAAATTTTTAATAAAAACTTTTATCTCTGGGAGGGAACATTTTCGCAAAGATTATTATTTATATAAAGATTTTATAAAGATTTTATTTTTATTTTTATTTTTATTTTTATAGCAATGCTTTTTAGCACGTGCTTGGATTTTTAGATACGTACTCATATGTACTTGTACCTATGCTCGTTCATGCAGTTGTCGAGTTTTGCAATAGGTCTCAGTACGATAGATTTTATTTGCTATAAATTGTTCAAGCTTATATATATTTACATCCCACGCAATATTTAAAATATTTTTAATGTTTTTAATAGTATTATTTAAATAACTTTTTAATCATTTATTCGTAAAAATAAGTTTTTTTAATTATTTCTAAAATACTAATTACTTGAATATAGAACATTGAATAAAATATCTATTATATAAAACTTTTATAATATTATTTATAACATATAAGAATTTCATATAAATGATATGATAAATAGTTTTTTTGATTTAAATTAATATAAATTGAGATAAATGTATACATGTAATATAAAATTTCCAAATAAATCGGAATACCGACATAGTTAACATAATAACTTAATGATAATACATACATTCATACATATATCATTTTAAAATAAAAATGTATTTGTATAGTAATAAGGAATATTGTGACGGGGTCTCAGAACGAGAATAGGCTCTCTATAAAAAAGAATACATTTCAAAAAACTTGCTTCATATGTCGAGTGAAAACATAGAATCTTCTGCACTAACTCTTACTAGCATTCAGAAAACTCACGTCACTTGAAGTCACGGAGCACACAACAGATACCCAGATATCAAAAGCAACAACGCTACTAGCATCGTACATAGCAACGTAGTAATGTAGCAACGTAGCAACATCGCAACGTAGCAACGACCAAAGAGACTATGCGAGTAATAAAAAGAAAAAAAAATATCATTTCAAGAGACTTAACGAAATTTTGTGCTTTTGGTTTGTTTCGCTTTAATGATTTCAGTTTGTTGAGTTTGGACGTTTGTGCCGGCGGTATCGATCGCGGTTCTTTTTGTTTAACGAATAAAGGTTTTTTCAATACGCTGTCATGTAGATACAATTTGTGTGCATCAACATTGAAAACGTGTTAGTATTTTATTTAAAAATTTGTTTTAAAATTTCGTTTCGAAAAATTGAATTATTTATTAGATTATGATTTCGGATAAAATTAATTGAAAATCAATAGAAATATTCGAATACTAAGGTGACAAACAAATGATTTTAGTTTTTTTTCGAACCGCATTGGTTGTGGAACGTGGAACGTTTTAGTGAATTCGGTATGACTTTGACATAAGTTGATATGATGAAGACCTTCACACTTCTCTTTTACCGAATATAAACTGTAATAAAAAGTTATAACATAAAGCACAAATCATATTAAGAAGCAGTTAAAAAGCAAAAAAAAAATTTGTTTAAATGACATTTTAAAAAGCATTTATATGATGAGCATTTTTATAAATATTTTTTATTGAATATTCAATTAATAAATAAAATTTTATATATTTTTCGTTAAATATTTAAACGGTTAAGTTTTTTTCTTTTAATTTACTTTCCAGTATCAGTCGTTGCAGTATTGTGATTTCACAAATGTCTGCTATAATCTTTTCTATCAGTTAAGAAAAATAAATAAAGCTAAATAATTAAGAAATATAGTAGTTAAATGTGAAAAAGCGTGTAAGAAAAACAAAAAATGTGCAATAAATTATTCGCAGCTACTCAACAAAATGGAATACATAAAAAATACTAAAATGAAAAATTTGAATTAAGCATGGCTTAAGCGAGAATCGAAAATAAGCAAATAAAAAACTTTGACACTGCCACTGAAATTGCATTTAACTTGATTATTTATTACTGTATTATTAAAAATAATAATTAAAAATTAAATTTTATACGAAATGTCTGTGTACAAACAGCACAAATCCAATCTATATAATACTCCCATCATTTACTCAAGAACTACAAAACATACTGATATCACTGAATGTGAGGAATTGGTACCAGATGTCGGCAGCACTGACAAAAAACTATTAAGCAAAGGGTTAAGTAATTCCCTCGTGTCGAATAGCACTAATATCACTCCTTGTTCTTGTCGGTGCCATATAACATCTGCCTTATTACGTACTAATAAAAGTCATGATTCTTACCTAACTATGCAAACATTAACAGTAAATACCAGCTGTTGTCTCTGCGATAAACAACAATCAAAAAATGATGTGAATTTTTTAATTGCCACCGATACTGGCAAATTACCTGAAAGAGAAAAGATGTTGCGATATTCTTTTAAAGGTCACCCACCGGAATTATATTCTCCAAAAAGAGAATTTATTTACACCCGTCCATTGGTCAACAAACAGGTAAGATGTACTATTATGTATATTAAAACCAACAACCAAAAAAAAAATCACCAATTTTTGTTTTCTTCTATGGTATATAATATGTATTTACCGATTATTGATGTTCTGCTTAATTTTATTACTAAAAACATTTCATATAATTATTTAAATGTATTGTGTGGTATATTCACCAACAAATTTTGAAGGGATCCAAATAACTATGTTTTAATAATTATGAATCCCACAAATAACAAGAAATTCAAACATAATATATAGGTACAAAAACTTAAAAACTCGATTTTTTTCAAAATCAACTTCAAAAAAGTTGAGTTACTAAAAGTTAAGTTAAGCTTAAATTTCTGCTATTAGTAGAGAGATTCTCTGCTTAAAATAAACATTGTTTGCAGTATATATTCGTTCTACTGCTACCACGTGATTGTCATTCATGATGCCTTCCTTCACCACCTTTCAACACGGGTCAGAAGAGTGCTTACATGGTTTCTGCTTGTCGAGTTTTGAATCGGATGTTATGAACTTTTGTTGAGCTTAAAGTTAATAATGAGGACATTATTATCGATGTTGGCCCATTAAATTTGATATAGTTTGAAACGATAAATAATATTTATGTTGTAGGAACAAGGTTGTGGCAAAGTATATGTATTTACGAGACTATTTACTAGGCGAATAAAGTTTACAGACACCTACAGATTCATAAATTAGTTGATTGAAACGTTTCATATATTCTGCAGATGTCCTATGATTCTTAGAAAAATAAATTCTAAACTTTTACCAAAGGAGATTGTCGGATTTACAAAGAACCTTAGCCTTTGTATCATTCCTCAAGAGATACTCTAATCCAATGGATTTACTAGTCTCGGCAGATTACTGTTCCTTCCTTAAAAAACAAGATAACGCATTTCAATTAAAGCAAATCTAATTTTATGACAGTAAAAACCAATGTAAATGATAGAATGACATAACGGGGGATAAATCAAATCTTACGAGAATTTATTGTATGTAACATATCACATAGCGTATGAGTGCTCAACATTTAAGCAAAACAATGAGATCTGCATATTAATATTATATCTTTAAATAAAGAATAGGAAAAAAATAATGTGTAGATGAAATGTTTCTATTGTTTCTGTGAAATAGTTATTATATGCCTTTATTTATGACTTCCGTTTGCTTCTTTTCAATTTTAAATTTCGTTTCATAGGTTTGTTATGTTTCATGTTATTATTTATGTTTCCTTACTGTGTACACATCGATATATATCCATAACATGTGTGAAAATGAATAGTCCCAATTAGTTCAGATACAAATATTTCAGTAAAAATATATATGAATGATCAATTTGGCTTATATTTTAAACTCAAGTCACAAGGGCGCACGAACACATGTGTCCATTTGGTAATGCACATGAACTCACAATAAATAATACATTTAAAGTTGCTTTTCTAATATTCAAGCCTTTTAATTATATTCACTTCAATCAAAAGCATCATATTAATCTGGAACAAGATCCAAAAAATTGAATTTGCAGTCTTTTTAAGCGTTTTACACAGGTATTATTCGGTTCACTTAGTTAAATTGATTGAAATGAACTATGCATTTTGAAGATACATAACGTAGAAAAACACAATATATAGAAATAAAAACATTAATATCAATATATATATACATTAGGGTGCCATTAAGGTATATGGGCAATTTTTTTTTTTGTAAAATCGGTTGACGGCACCCCCCAGATCGGTTCATTTTACTATAAAAATAATCTGTGTAAAATTTTAGTTAAATTGGATAATTGGAAATGGTGCCTCAAGAGCCTCAAAGATTGGAAAATAACGATTTTTTCCATAAAATTCATCTTTGATTGCTTATATCTCTGACATATTTAATTTTACATAAAAACTGTCTTCCTAAAAGTTATAGATCTATTAAAAATAAACAATTCACTCATACAATTCACTTCTGTATTTCTAAAAGTTATTGAATAAAAGCAAATACAAGCTGAAATCCCCATATTAAATTTAGGTAATTTCAATGAATGAATTGTCTACTAAATTTACTAAAAAATAAGTCCAATACTAGTATAGATATATAGATAAGTGAGTTTCTGTATTATTCATTGGAATGCGAAGTGAATTTTAATTCAAAGTGATAACATTAAAAAACAAGTCTGAAAGCCCAAATGTTGAACTATTTCAACGATTTCAGAAGTTTTGGCCGAAAATAAACGTTGATAACTTTACAGTCGGCTTAGAAAATGAAAAAGTAAGAAAATTGTTGAACACAGATGATGTGCTACGAATTACAAGTTTCCTTTATAAGATTCGTAAGTATAACCAACCAAGAGATGATTATAAGGAACTTCTGGAACTTGCATTAATGTTTTTAGGAGAAAAGCCGAACTGTACCATAAAGTTTTGACCTCCTGAAGCTATACATCATGCAAGATGAATGGCGAAAGCCATGCATGTATTAAAAATATTTTTATTTAGGAAAGAGTTCAAATTATCTACAGAAGAAGAAAATGCTCTTTGAGATATATTTATTACTAAAGTGTATGTTGAAGTATGGTTTAATGCTTTGTCATCAGTCGAAGCTCATTTTCAAGATTTTAATCTTCCTTCTATTCTCAGTCAATATCAAAAAATTGTATTTGGTATTTAAGCTCAAAGCTTGTTCATTTTGCTTTTTTGGATTTAAATATATTACCTGAGACAAAGAAAAATATGGTTTCAAATTTGAATATAGATAGTGATGACAACGAAGTCAGAAGAGAATCAATAGATCGCGCAAAAATAACTGAAGATAATAAGGATACTTTGCTCCAGCAACTTTAACTAAAATAATAAAAATTATGTCGGACAAACCTAGAATCAGTACTTTTTTATTATTAGAAAGATTAAATTTTGGAAATATTGAATTTATTTTAAATTTTTTAGAAATATTACATTTTTTGTAAAGCTGAAGCGGACAATAACATTCACAGTACTTTCAAAGCTAGCAATCGGGTGACTTCAACTTATTTTTTGTTTTATTCAATAACTATTAGAAAAACAGAAAAACTTTGTATGAGTGAATTGTTTATTTTAAATAGATCTATAACTTTTAGGTAGACAGTTTTTATGTAAAATTAAATATGTCGGAGATATAAGCAATCAAAGATGAATTTTATGGAAAAAATCGTTATTTTCCAATCTTTGGGGCACCATTTCCACTTATCCAATTGAACTAAAATTTTACACAGATTATTTTTTTAGTAAAATGAACCGATCTGGGGGGTGCCGCGGGCAATTTTCCGACTTTCGAAAATTAATGGCACCCTAATATACATATACGATACAGATCTCTAAATGATATAGACCTATTGCTATATATTAGTTGATTCGTATTGTATAATACCTGTTATGGGTACAGAGTCTATGCATTTCGAAGATACATAAAGTATAAAAATACAATATATAGAAATAAAATCATTAATATAAATATATATATACATATACAAAATACAGATCTGTAAATGATGTAGGCCTATTGCTTTATATTAGTTGATTCGTATTGTATAATACCTGTTATGGGTACAGAGTCTATGCATTTCGAAGATACATAAAGTAAAAAAATACAATATATAAAAATAAAATCATTAATATAAATATATATATACATATACAAAATACAGATCTGTAAATGATGTAGGCCTATTGCTTTATATTAGTTGATTCGTATTGTATAATACCTGTTATGGGTACAGAGTCTATGCATTTCGAAGATACATAAAGTAAAAAAATACAATATATAAAAATAAAATCATTAATATAAATATATATATACATATACAAAATACAGATCTGTAAATGATGTAGGCCTATTGCTTTATATTAGTTGATTCGTATTGTATAATACCTGTTATGGGTACAGAGTCTATGCATTTCGAATATACATAAAGTATAAAAATACAATATATAGAAATAAAATCATTAATATAAATATATATATACATATACGATACAGATCTGTAAATGATATAGGCCTATTGCTTTATATTAGTTGATTCGTATTGTATAATACCTGGTATGGGTACAGAGTCTGGACGTGCAATGCATTCGATTCATTCCATGATGCCGTACGGCGTTTTGTGCAGAAACTGATTTAAGTTAAAACCACTTTAGTATTCATACAGCGCCGTAGGTAAGAAACGTATTTTTGTATTTAAATTTTTAAAAATCAAAGTGAAATCTAAAGAATGCAGACAAGGCGAGCACAAGAAAGCAATAAGAAATAACCAAGAAAAAAACGAGATGAAGCAATTGTCTACATTTGAGTATTGAGTTTTGATGTATTAATTTATTTTTATTTAATTATTTATGTATTTTATGCTAAATTTTATTGCGTTCATTGACTTTGAGCGATGTAGTTAAGAAGTGTATATTAATCTGAAATAGGAACGTTTGTGAAATAAATTTCATTTTTCAAAATATCTACATAATGATATTATTTTTTTATATAATTAGTTAATTGATCGTACTTTATGTACATATATAATGTGCTATTTATTTTTAAGACAAGATTAAATTACCTAAAAGCAGTACTCTAAGTACAAAATTTCAATACTTCCATATTATTTTAATAGTAGTTGATTAGAACCCCAATAATTGTCTATCTGATAATTTAAGAAATCACAAATAATTAAGCTATTCACTAAATAAACGACTTATTCTATACTACTTGAGCACATAAAGAATTTATTAAATTACTCGTTCTGCTATAACAATTAATACTGTAAGTGCAATGCACTTTTGTACAATTAAGCACAAATGTAATGTACTTTGATCATTTCTTACCTCTCCAGTTTATATTTATTTTACACTTACTATTGTTTTAATATCAACATTAATATCTAAGACCCATTTCATTGGATTCTCCCATAGCATTTATGTTAATGATGAAACTAAAGCGTTTTTGTGGTAGATAAAAAAGATGAACGAAACTAAATTCAAACATATTTTAAGATC